TTGTATCTAAAAAAAACATAGTACATTTTACAATTATGACAGAATATACTGATTCAATTAACACCTTCATAAATTGAATAAAAACATTAAAAAGCAAAAACACAGCACGTTCTTTACTCATGGTTTTGCAGAAGAGTTGAAAACAATACACCGTGGCCTCCAGGGATTTTATACATGCTGTAAACTATGAAATATGATTTCAAAAAAAGTTTATTGGAGTACATCAAATAATAAAGTACAAAAAAAATACTATTCAATTTTTCTACTTAAAAATATAATGCTTAATTAAACGTTACTCACTGTTTCTTAGTAATTCACTGTGAATTTACTAGCAATTTTTGAGTAAAAAATTGTTTCAACACCATTTTTTTAATGTGAATAGTGCAGCAGTAGGAGTATGTGATTTTATTCACCCTTCACATCAAGAGCTGTGAGGAATCCCTGCTTCGAATCACTAGAGATGTGCTCCTTTGTGATGATACTGTCATATTATTTCCACAGAAAGAGACGTGTTTACTTGGTCTCACCGGGGCGTTTCATTTCAGATAAATCAAATCAGAATAAAATGCAAACGCTGTGTTAATTCCTGTGTGTCATAAGCTCTGACCTGCAGAAGAAAGTATTTCATCAGCGTGGCTTCAGACAGAATGACTAACCTCACATGATCCTCCGGTTCCAGTTCGGCGCTGAAGCCCAGTCGAACCGATGAGTAACCTTTGAAGCTGTTAAAAATAGACTATATAATGAAAAATGTTGTCTAGAAAAATGATTTTATTTAATCAGAAAAAGGTGGTGTAGTTACGACATCTACCAGCAGAGGCTACCTGACTCATGATGAGACGGATGTTTGTCATAATTAAAAGTAATTCATTCACATTTGGTCCATTGTTGGTTTGCTTGAGACTGTTAGAAAAAAATACACCACTCACTCACATCTCAAAGTGTTTTAGACCTAAGCAATGTAGTTATTGATATACACTATTGAGAACACAATAATAATATTAATAAATTGGCCATGCCAAAAACGGATTTTAAGCTTTCAATGGTGCACATTTAACCATTTTAACCACAAATCGCTGGTCAGGTCATCTTTTCAATTGTGGGAAGCAAGCCAATGCGTTCTGCTTCCCTGTGCTAGAGATGCATTCATGACTGAATTTCTCACTAGATCTTCAATGACACCTCTCTGGTGCATCACCATGCAACTCGTGTTTCATCATGATTCAGAATTCCACACACACACACACACACACACACACA